CCCCCCCCCCCCCCCCCTCTCTCCCTTCCCCCCTTCCCCCTAACTTGGGTTTACGCACAACTTCTAGAAGGAAGAGGGACCACATCACAACTGTCATAAAGAAGAGAGAGACAGAAAATAGTGAGAAAGGAGACTGCTCCGCTTATCACATTCCCCTTATGATTCCCCTTACCTCCGCTAAATAGTAAATACTCTTTTTTTTTTTTTTTTTTTTTTTCAGAATCTTTCTTTCTTTCTTTTGTAATCTGCCAAAGACCTAATATTAAGAAGCCAGGAGAAAAAAAAATCGAACAAAAAAAAGAACAACGCCAAAGACTCCCTCCCTCTCGGCGCCAGCCAGGCTTGATTTGAGCACAGTCGGATCATGGATAACTGTCATCCCCATCACATCCGTATCTGATTCAGTGAAAGACACACAATTGTTCACAGCCTCCTTGAAAGCACAAATGAAAGTGAGAGAGTGTACTAGGCTCGTTTTAAGGAAAAGCGAGTCTCAGAGAAAAACGACGTGAAAGCCAGCTCAAGTAATCAGGTGCAATGCAGTACAGACACGCACTTTCTCCGTCAGACTCTCCTCTTACAAACCGAAATTGAGAGACCGTAGGCTCTCGCTTAAGAAAGACAAAGGGGAAAAAAAAAGAAGAAAAAAAAAAAATTTCAAACCAGCAGCAGTTCACATGGTCGAGCAGGGGAAATGCAGTGCACACTCACTGTCGGTCAGTCGGAGGCTGACAGCGCAACCACGACCGCGCGTGCCTATGCACCGCAGAGACTGCGCAGAGACAGACGGACAGCACTTCGTCAGCCGAGAACCGAGAATTACCAAAGTAACTGGACTCAAGATATCAGTCACAGAAGATTTTAACATCACCCGAGACAAAAAAAAAAAAAAAAAAAAAAAAAAAAAAACCCATCACCCGAGAATTATTACCACAGTCACAGAAGCTTTTAACATCCCCCGAGAAGATTTTAGTACTCTTCGTTAAGTTAACCCGAACTGGAGCTAACACGCTTCCCAGGAGAAGGCCAATATTTGCGTAAATTTCAGATCGTCGGAGTCCCCCGTGATGAGTCCTCTCCTCCTCGGGACGTAGTTCCCGGCATTCACTCTCACTTCAGAGTTGATGTTCAGGTCCCGGATCATGTTGCACCTGCTGCTTGCAGGCGACACGAAACTTGCCCGAACCTCGAAGTCGTCGTCCATCGGCCCTTGAAACTGGTGCGTGGCTCTACCAGTCCCTAACAGAGTGGAGAAGTAATAACTCGTCCTTGCGATGGCCTTAACGCCTGCATCCAACTGAGCATAACCGTTCAAGATGACGTCGACGAAAGTGAAAGTGAAGCCCTGAGGATAACTCAGCTGGACGCTGACAGTGCACTGCTTTCGTTGATCACTGGCGGGGCTGTCCGAGGAAGCAGCGTAGTCGCCGAACCAGACAGTGAGTATTTCGGCGTCCTCTGACAGCACGACAACAACGGAGCTGCCGCTCGGACATCCATCGCCGTTAAAGCTGGAGCCGACGATCGTCACGGAGCCAGGAGGAGGAGAAACTGCATAGCCATGGCCGGCAAGCTGGAGGAGGAGGAGGAGGATCAACAGCACGCCTGCCAATGCCGCCATCGCGGGCGAGTTGGGACTCCCACATCGAACATCGCCACATCGAACATCGGTCTGCATCTTTACCTTCCGCCTGTTAGATAGCTTTGTCGCATTAAAAAAAACGGGTTCCCTTCAAGAGAAGGAAGGAAAAAAGCGACTATGGCGGCAGACAAAAAAACAAAAAACCTGCTCTCCAGAGAGAGGTGTGCTGCCTCCCTCGTCCGAGCGAGAGATGGGGGGAACAGGAACAGGTGTCCCGCGCTCCCGCTGCCTTGGAACGCACGTCGAACCGATACCCACAAGCTCAAGCCAAACGTGCCAACAGACTGGAGCGGCAGAGGCTGTCGGTCTATGCCCACGGGAATCGTCGAGCCTTTATACACACCAAGGGAAGTCAGCATATCATAGCATGAACTTAGCATAGTATATTTCTTATAGCATATTATAGCATGAACTTAGCATATTTCATTTCTTATGGCATATTATAGCATGAACTTCGCATATTTCATTTCTTTTCTTATGGCATATTATAGCATGAACTTAGCATAGTATTTGTTATGGCATATTATAGCACATAAGTACAGTAACTTTTGTTTTCATAAAGAAGGCCGACGGCTTGAGATGTCGCCGACCCCAAGTAAATCTAGGGTTACTTTTGGCCTCTGATTTACTTGGGGTCGGCGACATCTACTTTTGGCCTCTGATTTACTGATAGACCGCGCCTGGCGCGGTAGGGCAGCCAAGGGGAGGAAGGGTGACGTGGAAGGAGCGAGGAGGCATTTCGTGGGGGAAAGGGGAGAGAAAAAAAGGGACAGCAATAAGGACGTTTTGGGCCGTGCCAAGGAAAAGGCAGACACGTCACAGGACATTTGTTGACCATCCCACCAAATGACTTCGCCCACTGCAGAGAGGAGGAGGGAAGGGCTTACAGCCAGGATGGCTGTATCCTGGCTGTGTATACACTGATGTCTTTTGTCGTCTAGCTATCGCATTCCATATGGGGAATGTCGTCGACCGCTTAGTACGTCTTAGAGGGGTATACAAGGAGTCGTTGC